GTCGGTATCTGTTTTACAAGAGAATTCTTGGTATTTTTACTCTAACGTTTTAAAGTCGGTATCTGTTTAACATGAGAAAACTCAGTGTATTTACCTTCAAATATTTAAATCATTATTTATTTAACATGAGAAAACTCGGTATTTTTACCCTAAAATATATATGTATCATTATCTGTTCAACATGATAATATTCGGTAATTTTACCCTAAAATATTTAAATCATTATCTTTTTATCAAGAGAAAACTCAGTAATTTACTCTGAAGCAGTTAAGCGTTTTAGTCTAAAACGTTGATAATTGTTTTTGATTTTTACTCCCTAGCTTTTGATATACTGTGTACATTTTGTTACCACTTCTGATTTATTTCCATCATTTTTCTCCAAGAATCTCCGTGACTGATTGTGTTTAAGAATTACATTACTTTATAATTGACTTTATATGAATATTAATTAATACTGTGTAGTGCGTGCTCCACCACGTGTAGCTGAAGGCCGAGGATCCAAGAAATTGGATTTGGAATTGCTTCTAACCTATTTATTTTTTATTTTTAATCTACATTTGTGAAAAATAACCAGATAGCTTCAGTAATGACTTATAGTCGTTTATCTCCTGATCGTACGATGTTTCATCACGTTCCGCAACGAAAGCTTTGGTCACATCTTGTTAGAAGAATGATGTATTAGAAGTTTCTGTATTAGAAAGAACTCGAGGTGGAACAGCAGAGATATGCGTTCCTGAAATATGATAGCCAATGGGAAAAGTTTACATATATTTTTACAGGGGAAAAAATAATACTTTTCGTATTTAGCAGAATTATTTATCACGGATAGTAATATCCTTGTTCTTCATCAGAACAGTCTACTAATCGGTAAATAATATCCTTGTTCTTCATCAGAGCAGTCTACTAATCGGTAAATAATATCATCATTCTTCATCAGAGCAGTCTACTAATCGGTAAATAATATCCTTGTTCTTCATCAGAACAGTCTACTAATCGGTAAATAATATCATCATTCTTCATAAGAGCAGTCTACTAATCGGTAAGTAATATCCTTGTTCTTCATTAGAGCACTGTACTAATCGGTAAATAATATCCTTGTTCTTCATCAGAGCACTACCAATCGGTAGATAATATCCTTGTTCTTCATCAGAGCAGTCTACTAATCGGTAAATAATATCCCTGTTATTCATCAGAGCAGCCTACTAATCGGTAAATAATATCCTTGTTCTTCATCAGAGCACTCTACTAATCGGTAAATAATATCCTTGTTCTTCATCAGAGCAGTCTACTAATCGGAAAATAATATCCTTGTTCTTCATCAGAGCAGCCTACTAATCGGTAAATAATATCATCATTCTTCATCAGAGCAGTCTACTAATCGGTAAATAATATCCTTGTTCTTCCTCAGAGCACTGTACTAATCGGTAAATAATTTCCTTGTTCTTCATCAGATCACTCTGCTCAGCGAGCCCCCCAGTGGAACAGCGGTAAGTCTGCGGGCTTACAACGCTAGAATCCGAGTTTCGATATCCGTGGTAGGCAGAGCACAGATAGCCCATTGTGAAGTTTGTGCTTAATTACAAACTGCTCAGCGAAAAGATTGAAGGTTTTTGGCGCTAAAATTGAGAATTCGGTCCCAGCGGTGGACACATTAAGTTCCTTTGCTTTAAAAAAATAAATAAAAACAATTTAAGAATAACTAAATGTATCCCTTAACACAATCTCTTCAGTCAAACAGTAGCAGAAGAAAATAAACGTAGCTAAAAGCTCAGTCAGCCAGTTGGACAAGGCTTAGAAATTATTAATTCCCTTTTCATTATTTTCAGAATTTCAAGTCTATATGTTAAAATATTTTAGTGTACGTTATCAAGAAAGCAAGTAAAAATGTTGAGGTAAACGTTATGTTGTCTATTCAATTAACTTTGTCAATACACGGGGCCCACTGGGGTCTCTGTATTTCAAAATCATAACATTTCTTGGACTTGCGGATGATTGTTCGATAACAAAAAAAAAACCATCAAATCTCGTACATATCATTTACGTATGTAGAAGCATATGACAGTAAAATTGTAACTACAACCAACATCAATAATTTAGTAATTGTCGTCAAAAGTAACTACAACACACATCAATAATGCAGTAATTGTCGTCAAAAGTAACTACAACACACATCAATAATGCAATATTTGTCGTCAAAAGTAACTACAACACACATCAATAATGCAATAAATGTCGTCAAAATTAACTACAAAACACATCAATAATGCAATAATTGTCGTCAAAAGTAACTACAACACATTAATAATGCAATAATTGTCGTCAAAAGTAACTACAACATATTAATAATGCAATAAATGTCGTCAAAAGTAACTACAACACATCAATAATGCAATATTTGTCGTCAAAAGTAACTACAACACACATCAATAATGCAATAAATGTCGTCAAAATTAACTACAAAACACATCAATAATGCAATAATTGTCGTCAAAAGTAATAATAACACATCAATAATGCAATATTTGTCGTCAAAAGTAACTACACGCACATCAATAATGCAATAATCGTCGTCAAAAGTAACTACAACACATCAATAATGCAATAATTGTCGTTAAAAGTAACTACAACATATTAATAATGCAATAAATGTCGTCAAAAGTAACTACAACGCACATCAATAATGCAGTAATTGTCGTCAAAAGTAACTACAACACACATCAATAATGCAATAATTGTCGTTAAAAGTAACTACAACATATTAATAATGCAATAAATGTCGTCAAAAGTAACTACAACACATCAATAATGCAATTATTGTCGTTAAAAGTAACTAAAACATATTAATAATGCAATACATGTCGTCAAAAGTAATTACAACACATCAATAATACAATAATTGTCGTCAAAATTAACTACGACACATCAATAATGTAATAATTGTCGTCAAAAGTAACTAAACACATATTAATAATGCAATACTGTATTTACTCGAGTAATAGACGAATTTTTATGACCAGTGTTTTGGGTTATAATTTAGGGGTCGACTTTTACACGAGTAATAATTTTGAGAGGTTGAAATGCATGCTCAACAAAAGTCCACAAAACATGAGAGAAAAAAAAGCAATAAACAACAAAAACAATTTTATTTTTTTATTTAGAAAATGGTGAACATTAAAACTGACATATGATCTTAATAATAGTATAATCAGTTTTTTCCAGTAAACATGTTACAACATTCAATATGCAAAAACGTTATAAGTTTGCTTGCCCAAGTTTGAAAGATTGTATAAGGTTATTCGAGCACCTGAACTTCGAAGAATGGTTAATAAATTTTAAGTGTTTTCGGTTATCCCGATTTTCAAGCCAGGTCAAAGTTTTGATTATTTCTACTGTTACTATCACTATAGCGATCAACTAGGAAATTATTATCAGGATATTTCTTGTAGTAACATGGTTAGTTTTATCAGCACATTGCTAGTAGTAATATGGTTAGTTTTATTAGAATATTGCTAGTAGTAACATGGTTAATTTTATCAGAATATTTCTAGTAGTAACATGGTTAGTTTTATCAGGATATTGCTAGAAGTAACATGGTTAATTTTATCAGAATATTTCTAGTAGTAACATGGTTAGTTTTATCAGGATATTTCTAGTTCTAACATGGTTAGTTTTATGAGAATATTGCTAGTAGTAACATGGTTAATTTTATCAGAATATTTCTAGTAGTAACATGGTTAGTTTTATCAGGATATTGCTAGAAGTAACATGGTTAATTTTATCAGAATATTTCTAGTAGTAACATGGTTAGTTTTATCAGGATATTTCTAATATAACATGTTTAATTTTGTCAGAATATTGCTAGTAGTAAAATTGTTAGTTTTATCAAGATATTGCTAGTAGTAAAATGGTTAGTTTTATCAGGATATTGCTAGTAGTAAAATGGTTAGTTTTATCAGGATGTTGCTAGTAATAACATGGTTAGTTTTATCAGGATATTTCTAGTTCTAACATGGTTAGTTTTATCAGAATATTGCTAGTAGTAACATGGTTAGTTTTATCAGCACATTGCTATTAGTAATATGATTACTTTTATCAGAATATTTCTAGTATTAACATGGTTAGTTTTATCAGGATATTTCTAGTATATCAGAATATTGCTAGTAGTAGTTTTATCAGAATATTGCCAGTAGTAACATGGTTAGTTTTATCAGAATATTGCTAGTAGTAACATGGGTAGTTTTATCAGGATATTGCTAGAAGTAACATGGTTAATTTTATCAGAATATTTCTAGTAGTAACATGGTTAGTTTTATCAGGATATTTCTAATATAACAAGTTTAATTTTGTCAGAATATTGCTAGTAGTAAAATTGTTAGTTTTATCAAGATATTGCTGGTAGTAAAATGGTTAGTTTTATCAGGATATTGCTAGTAGTAAAATGGTTAGTTTTATCAGGATATTGCTAGTTCTAACATGGTTAGTTTTATCAGAATATTGCTAGTAGTAACATGGTAAATTATTTCAGAACATAGCCAGTAGTAACATGGTTAGTTTTATCAGGATATTTCTAGTTCTAACATGGTTAGTTTTATCAGAATATTGCTAGTAGTAACATGATTAATTTTATCAGAATATTTCTAGTAGTAACATGGTTAGTTTTATCAGGATATTGCTAGAAGTAACATGGTTAATTTTATCAGAATATTTCTAGTAGTAACATGGTTAGTTTTATCAGGGTATTTCTAGTATATCAGAATATTGCTTGTTTTTAAAATAAAAATCATTAAGAAAAATCTAACACGGTCAGAAATGTTTCTCGTATTTGTTATTGCCACCATATGTGTAACCTTCCACTAATGTCTTGCCACCATATTATGAAGTGTTACCAGTTTTTCTGCTGTCACCATATGTGTAATCCTTCTATAATATACTAGCATGTTTATATTGTTTTTAGTAAGTGTAATGGGACTAGAAGAAGAAGAAGTGGAATTACCCTGCAACATTACGGCTATCCCTGAGGATGATATTCCTACGCTCGTCTTCTGGTACAAGAATAACATTACTACCCCGATTTATACTCTCGACGCCAGAAAAGGATCCCTTAGTCTAGCTCGACACGCGTCTGTCTACGAGGCTGTTCGGGTTTACTTTGCCACAGATACAGAACCAGCCGTCCTAAGGTTTAAGAAACTGAACCGAGGTGACCAAGGGTCATATCGTTGTCGAGCGGATTTTGATCGAGCTAGGACTCGATACACCGATAGTGTCCTGAAGGTTATTGGTCAGTGGTCAGTGGTTGCAATCTTTTCTTTAATCACATGGATGTCATGTCCGTTTTTTTTTGGCAAATGTTTGATTAAAAACTAAGCTATATATCAGTCTTGGTTTAAATAAGATCATCCACTGTCGACAGTAATCTAAAATTGATCGATTTTTAATCACTTGATAATACTGGTTTAATCTAGTGAAATATCATTTTTAATCACTTGATAATACTGGTTTAATCTTGTGAAAAATTCATTTTTAATCACTTGATAATACTGGTTTAATCTTGTGAAATATCATTTTTAATCACTTGATAATACTGGTTTAATCTAGTGAAATATCATTTTTAATCACTTGATAATACTGGTTTAATCTAGTGAAAAATTCATTTTTAATCACTTGATAATACTGGTTTAATCTTGTGAAAAATTCATTTTTAATAACTTGATAATACTGGTTTAATCTAGTGAAATATCATTTTTAATCACTTGATAATACTGGTTTAATCTTGTGAAAAATTCATTTTTAATCACTTGATAATACTGGTTTAATCTTGTGAACAATTAATTTTTAATCACTTGATAATACTGGTTTAATATTGTGAACAATTAATTTTTAATCACTTGATAATACTGGTTTAATCTTGTGAAATATCATTTTAATCACTTGATAATACTGGTTTAATCTAGTGAAAATCATTTTAATCACTTGATAATACTGGTTTAATCTTGTGAAATATCATTTTAATCACTTGATAATACTGGTTTAATCTAGTGAAAATCATTTTAATCACT